GCTCTTCATAAGCCTTTAGTGAGCTTTCTGCTCTGCAACCTACCTTCTGTACGCTGTGCTCTGCATCACTCTCCTTATTCGAGTAACAGGGATAAGGAACTCCTGCGTGTGTCTACATGAGATGCTTTACTGCTCAGTAAAGCAGTTTACTGTGCAGTAAGCATATGAGTCTACATGTGCACATGCTTACTGCACTGTAAACTGTGCTACTCACAAGTAAATTTGCTACCTGCAAATGCAAGTACCAAATTTAGTCATGAGTAGTTACTGTGCAGTAGTGCATATGTAGATGCAAACTGGGAGATGCAAATTTGCTTCTGGTCAGCCCTGCCACTAGGGGCCAGCCAGAGTTCAGCCCCAGGGCTCTGGGGCTGGGAGCTTCTCCGTCTCCAGGGGAGGTGGGGTGCAGCTTCATGGCAGCCCCAGCCCCAGGCCCTTAAAAGCCTGCAGGCAGTCTGCCATAGGTGGCAGAAAGACAGGGCTAATGGGCTAGCCCCCCTCCCCTCCCAAATCTGGGGCAGTGGGCAGGGCCGCAAGGCAGCTGGGCCACAGGCTCCGGGCAGCTGCGGCAGGGGCATGCACGCAGCCAAGACTGCAGTCCAACGTGTGAATCACTGGCTGCCCAGCACGGAAGGCAAGTACCAATCGATTCTGTGAAGGGGATGGGGAGGGGGACCGGTCAAGGCCCCTGCAATGAGGAAGAGAGTGGGGCACAGGTAGGAGCAGGGGCTAGGGTGAATGGGGTCCTGAGGCTGGGTGGTGGGATGCTCAGAGCCCGGGCAGCTCATCCAGGAGGCTGGCTCCTGCCAGGCCTGCCAGCACCTGGGCCAAGCTGTGTCCAGCTCCTGGTCACCAGGACCGGCTCCAGCTGGCTGTAGGCAACCCTGAACAGCCTGCCTGGACCCTGCAGGTACTGCAGGGCATCACCTTGCTGTGTGGTTACTAGTCCCAAATGGTGCCTCTGTGGTCAGCACTGGGACAGCTGTGCAAATGCCCAGAGCTGGCATGGGAGCCACAATGGCATTGTCACTGAAACCATGCCTCCCAGAGCCCCAACTGGTCAATGGAGGAGACTGGCAAACTCATGGTTCTGTGGGTCAAGGCAGAGGTGCAGAGGCAGTTCACAAGGGGTGGGCACTCCAATGTGCATGTTTATGAGGAGCTGTCAGGCTGGACGTGGGAGCACAGTCATGATTGGTCGGCGTGGCAGTGCCACATAAAGGTCAAAGCCTTGCAAGCACAGTGGGTCACCATCACCAACCATAACCATCGGTGAAGGAGTGCCAGCAATCCATGCCTTTTATGCAGCAATTGGATGCTATCCTCATACCCTGGGACCCAGGCCGCAGCCATACTGCGTAATGCAGCATGGGAAGCCTGCCTGAGCCCCTACTATGACCTGGCACCCACAATGACGTGTTGCTGGGGGAGTGACCCTCGGGCCATCAGCAGCCCATCCCCCTGAGCTCCCCGCCCCAACATCCTCCACTGGGGGTCCAGCCAGCAGGATGGGGTCCAGGCAGCAGCTGCACATGAGCTGGGGCCCTGGGACAATATGGTGAGACCAGCCAGGCAGTTGCTGTGGTTGGGAGAGCTGGCAGGGCCCAGATGGCCATGGGCCACGTGGCAGTTTCTGCAGCAGGCTAGCAGGGGCAGTGCAGTGGCCAGCAGGAGCCTAGGGCACTGGGCATTGCTGCCAGGGGCAAGGGCAGGAGCAGCCATGGTGCAGGGAGGCAGAGGCTAGTGCCCGAGCTGCTGCATGCTGCCTGCATGCTATGCACACTGCTCCTGGCCAGTGTAGGGGCTGACCAAGGAGCAGGGAATAGGGACAACTTTTAAAGATGGCCTTCAGCCACAGGCAGTTGTGGCTGAAGCCTCCAGCTCCTGTTTTGGCCCGGGTGGCAGGGGCCCATTGGAAAGCCCCAGGAAGCTTCCCTGAGCGTGTAAACACCTGCCCAGGAGAGTTTACTTGTGAGTAGTTTACTTGCGAGTAACCTGCTTCCAGATCAAATGCACATGTAGACACACTCCTGTTACATAAAGCAGGTCTAAACACAGTACCTTTTTATCAAGAGCAGAAATGCATGCTACGTGAACTAAAGGGCACCCAATAGCAATACACTGATAGGAATTTTACTTAGAGAATAACAAACTGGTATAGAACCTTTCAACTCAGCATTTATATCAGTTTCAGAGAGAGAGAACTGTGGGAATTAGGATTCCTGAGTCATCTTCCTGACTGAGGAGGAGAGTAAGCACACAGACTTGAATTCATTTTAAAAAGCTCTGTGGCTAAGTAGATGAGTCTTTGGCTTGATGCATTAAAGACAGGGTTCTCTCTCAGTACTGACAGAAGTTGAACCATTACCACATTGGTAAAGTAAGGATATTCTTGTATTCTAAGGTCTGGCGTCTTATTGCTAAGTGCTGCAAAGTATGCAGAGGGTCTGTCTACATGGCACAATATAGAGTTGTCCAGAGGCCTGTGAGCTTGCTGAGAGCTAGCATTAGTGTAGCACTTCACCTGAGCTAAACAGGCCTGTTGAGAAGATCTATCAGCCTGGATGAAGCATGGCCTTGATGTAATTGTGATGCTTCCACTATCCAAGATAACTTGGGCTTCTGCACAGCACTTTGTTGTGCCTTGTAGACATACCTAAAACGGTTAGCATTAGTTAGAAAAAGAATTACTTTACAAGTCATAGTCTCTTTCCGGCTTCCCCCACCAGTGCTTGAAGTGTGAAGCCATCCCTACCAAAAATGGAGGCCTGAAAATGTATAAATTAATGTGGTAGAGTTTTAAACAAGACATGACTAGGCTGAAAGGGAAGTTCAGGTGGCTTAATTTTAGTGAATGAGTCGGGGCTCAGCTTTCAAGATTTTTGGAGACACTGCCCAAAGATAAAGGGGCACTTGCTGATGCCATTTCTTACCTACAACTCAAATTACATGGGGTCAGGGAAGAAGCTCAATGCTATACTTCCTAGCTTAGCATGTAGCTGATATCCGTCAGGGATATGCTTGCTGTGGACAGATTGTACAGAGACTTTAGCAATAAGTATCTAAGAAACTTAGAGTGTATGCAAAGAGCAATTTTCAAAGACATATAATGAAGCCAAACATGGGCAGCATTTTAGGGAGATGCACAAAAAAACCCTTTGTGACCTCAAGACCACTTTGCCAACACAGGTCAATCTTCCTGCTCAAATCCTCTTGAAAGAAAAGTGTGTCAGGAAAGACATGCATGTGTTAGAGGAAAGCTACATTGTTTTTGTTGAATGTGTTACTGATATACATTATTTATTTTTAGAATGTTACAAAGCCAAAATATTCCAAAAAAAAAGGTAAAATTGAAGCTAAAAATCTTTAGATAGGTAAGCAGATAGGTAAGAAGGAAGGAAGGAGCATGCAGGCAAGCAACGCACCAACATACCTACAGGCTAGATGGTGCCAATTTGACTAGCACCACAACCAAAAGGAACCTAGAGAGTAATAATCGACCATCAGCTGTCAGTGTGATGCTGTAGCCAGCAGGGCAAACAACATGCTGGCATGCATCAACCAGCGCATCTCATTAAAACCAAGGAAGTGATTCTTCCACTGTACTCAGCACTGGTGAGACCACAGCTGGAGTACTGCATCCAGCTCTGGGCACTGTATTTCAACAAGGACATGGAAAAACTTGAGTCGGGAGAAGAGCCACCTGTATGATCAGAGACTTGGAAGCAAGCCATATGAGGACAGGCTGAGGGACTTGGGCCTCTGCAGCCTAAAACAGAGAAGGTTCAGAGGGGAGTTGGTAGCAGTTTACTGCTACAACAGGGGAGTACATCAAGGGCTCAGTGAGCAACTGTTCACCAGGGTGCCCCTGGGGAAAACCAGGAGTAATGGCCACAAACTCCTGGAAGACCACTTCAGGCTCAACTCCAGGAAAAACTTCTTCACAGTCAGGGTTGTCCAGATTGTGGAATAAGCTCCCCCCAGAGGTGGTGCAATCACCTACCCTGGAAATCTTCAAGAGGAGACTGGACAGTCACCTCACTGGGGTCTCACTGGGGGTCCCCTGACCCCAGTTGTCTTCCTGCCTAGTTCAGGGGGCCGGACCTGATGATCTTGCAAGGTCCTTTCCGGCCCCTTACAATCTATGAAGCAGACGGACAATTAGGTAGGCAGACTGGTAGGTAGACAGAAAGGCAGACAGGTTTACAGGCAGGTAAGTAGATAGGTAGGTACATAGGTAGCCAGATAGCTTGGTAGGTAGACAGATGGGTAAGTAGATAAGTACCCAGATAGGTAAACAGAAGGGCAGAAAGAGAAGCAGGTAGACAGACAGACAGACAGACAGACAGAGTAGGAAGGCAGGCAGATAAATAGACAGACAAGTAAATAGGTAGATGGACAGACAGACAGGTAAGTAGGTAGGTAAATACACAGGTAGCTAGGTGGGTGGGTAGACAGGGAAATCGACAGACAGACAGGTAAGTAGGTAGGTAAATACACAGGTAGCTAGGTGGGTGGGTAGACAGGGAAATCGACAGACAGAGTAAGAAGATAGGCGGATAGACAGACAAGTAAGTAGGAAGATGGGCAGACGGACAGGTAAGGAGGCAGACAGA